TTAGTAGGGTTTTAAGTGTATTCCTGCCCTCCCAGACCACAGTGTTCCCTGTTTCTAGCTCTCTTGTGCATCTTCTGGGTTGGACAATCATTACTGCAGCCCTACCTTCCAATTTTCCTACTTCCCAGACCTTTTATTCCATTTCAGTTTCTTCTGTGCCAAGAATACATACAGTGGCTCCCCTTTTAACCATTGTATCCTGACCTCCTCATCCCAGTGGGTTGATCTTCCGAAGGACATTAGCAGTGACCACACGAGTGCATTCCAATGACTGTCATCACTGCAAGACTGAGCTTAAATGACTTCATCTTCCATCCAAAGTGCTTCTGTCTCTTAAGACTGACCTATCAAGGATTCCAGGCTCTGAAGCTTCTCCCCCAGTTTTCATATTGAAGTTGCATCCTAGCTTCCTTTTGTATTCTTACTTTCCCTGTTCATGGTTAACAAAATGATCACTTAGAATCCTTCTACAAATTCTCACCATCTTTACTCCATCTATGTAGGAGTTCAGCTGTCTTCATGCCTAATTTATTCCTAAAGCATGAACACTAGCATAATCTTCTAAAGCAAGATTATTTCTGAAAACACAGACACCAAGGTTAGTGGCAAATGTTCCAAGATTCCTGAAATTTATTCACATAGTCTCAAGCTGGTTGATCATAGTTTGACATCACTTGAATGCTATTTCCCAGCGACACACATTGAATGATGAAGAAATTGAGCAACAACACACGCTAAGGAGATGGTGGGGAGAAAGGAACTCTTCTCTGGTGGTGGGAAGGTAAGCTGATAAAACCACCATGGAATCTCCTCAAAACACTACAAATAGAAGTTTCACTGGACCCAGGCATTCTGCTTTGTGGTATCTTCCCAAAAGAGTTAAAAAATATCATAATACATACCCATGTTTATAGTAGCACAATTTATAATAACTAAATCTTGTAAGTGGTCTATATGTCCATCAGCAGATGAATCAATTAAAAAATATTTACACACAATGACATACTACTTTGCTGTATAAAACATAAATTCCAGGCATTTGTAGGAAGATGGATGCACCTTAAGACCATAATATTAAGTGAGGTAAATCAAAGACACAAGCTTGAACAACACATTGTCTCTCTTAGATCGAAAATTGAAAACAAAAATGCAAGGGGAAAATAAAAGTTTATATTTTCTAAGTATGATTCTGCTGTCAATTTCTAGTTGTACTCCAATATGATATGAGAGCTCACTTTGCAAGATTTCCATTATTTTGGACATGAAAAGGCCTTTATGATTGCTATCATCATGGTCTATTTTGAATTTGAGGAAGATAAAAAGAGAAGAAAAAAGCTTTCCAGAGTAGGAAAATGTATAGAGATAGACAGAAGGTCAGTGCTTGTCTTGATCTAAGGAGGAGAGATGGGAGATGACCGCTGATGCGTAGAGGAAAACCAATTGAAATTTTATTGTAAATTGTAAATTTATTATAAATCATGTGATACCCAAATTTTATTTCAATAAAACTGTTATTTCAAAAATGATACACGTTGTGTGAAAGCTTTAATAATCAGCTTTTCTTCTTTGCTATTTTCACTGTTTCTTCTGGAAATGAAAGATATTTCTTCTTAAATATGTTTTTCTCAGTCAGATTGCAAATCAAAAGTATCATTATAATAATTCAAGAGCCTCAGTCTTTCCCCATAATTCCTACACTGGAAATATTAGAATTTGCATAACTTAATACTCTATGCTTTGTCCTAAGTATACAAATCCTCAAACATATTTGACGTCTCCTTTGACTTGAAGTTACTCCAAACAAATGGATACCAAAGATATGTTTTATGCTTCTTTATATCACAGTAGTATTCCACTGCACAGAAATGTCACAATTTCTTTATTTACCTGTTGAGATTGATGGACACACAGGTCATTTCCATGATTTACTATTCTTATTTGTGCTGCTATGAAAAAGTAGAAAATAGGAAGTAGTGAAATAGGCAATTATCAAAAGAGAAGGAATCAAGATACACAAGTACGGGGGTGGGAGGGAAGTGGTAAGGAATGAAAAGAGGAGCTGGAATGTGCTGTGCATATGGACCACAAAGGGAATGCGAACCTTATGCATTGCACGCTTGTACTAACAAACTAAAACCTGAATAGGACTAAATTATAGACTGGCATATTGGGAAATTAAAGGGTGGTATGTCTAGATGTGTACTAAAAATGTACGCCTGTATTACTGTAACATGAGGGCTTTAACTGTTTTGAAAAGATTCCGAGAAGGAGGATAGCTAGGTAGAGTGAAATTTCTAGTTTCATGTCTTTGAGGAATCACATATTGACTTCCTAGTGTTCGTACTAGTGTACACTTTCACCAGCAATGTAAAAGGGTCCCTATTCCCCCACCGCCTTGCCAGAATTTATCATTATTTAATTTTTTGATGACAGCCATCTTTTCTGGGGTAAGATGTCATAAAGAAAGATGAATTCAAGTCATGTGTAGGAAAGTGGATGCATCTTGAAACAAACCAGACACAATAGCTTAAATATTGTATGAGTTCTCCTATACAAGTCCAAAGTGCAAAACAAATCAAAGACCAAACTAAAAGATAGACCACTGGAAATAGGAAGTTAGATCTTCAACAAATGGAAAGAGGACCAGGAGATGTCAGGACAGTGAGAGGAGTACAAGAAGAATTAAGGTATGTCAAATACATATACAGAACACACAGAGAATGGATTTATTACATACTGCGAATATGTACTCATGAATAAAAGGTGCAAGCATGACAGGATGAGTATGTTTGAAGTAAGGGAGAGTGTGTTGAGCGGCATAACTGATGTGTCTTTTACTGTAGTAGATTTCTTAAAATTTAATTAAAAAGATGTGATGTTTTAGCAGGCACTGAGGTAGAGGAAAGTACTAACGTTATTATTTACAACATAGGAGGAAAATAAAACAGAAAATCAGTATTTGAATTGCATCTCTGTGGCCTCATGTATTTATCCTTGTATTTTGATTAAGCCCAGTAGCAATGCTGATCAAAAAAGCATTTTACATTCTGCTGAACATATTTTGAAGAATGTTTTCTATTCAGAATGTTGACAATGTTAACAGGGCTTTTATTACATAAGTACACATTCTTTTTTATTCTTGGAGGGTGCTAATTATTACTGTTTCTTCTATGTGTGATACATTACCATATTTCAAAATTCACAAAATATAAATGGCTATATGCTAAATTTCCCCTTATGCAGCTTCATTATATGGATGTGTTTACTTAAGCAGTCACTTTAAAGAATGCTTAGGTTAGTACATTTTATTACATTTTGTTATCACCAATAATACTTCGGCAAAAGACTATGCATAGCAGTCTACACGTGTACAAGCATATAGGTCATATATTCTCAACAAGTTATCAAATAAAATGGCATTCTTTCTCTCATTCTGATATATGCAATTCCCAAACTGCTCTTGGTAGATGTTCCAGCTTGGATTTTGTCAGCAATATATGGAAACTGGCTTACTTTGAAAACAACCTTTGAATTTGTATGGCAAGCTGATATTCTTCACTTCCTGAAGATCACCTCAAACAATTTACATAGCAAAAACCTATCCCTGTTTGTGTGGAAATTCTATGTAGGGACGAGCAGGCAGCCTCAATACAAGTTTTGAAATTCTTACATATTCCACCACGTGGCATCGTGCTCCCACCATAATGACCTTGGGAAATTTTCCTCAGCTTGTTATGTCTCTCTCATGTGGTGCAATGTGAGCCTCTCTGGAGGAGACCCTGATTTTCACTTATTCGCATGCAGAGGAAGGAGGAAGGAGGTGAACGTGGCCCGAGGTGTAAGGATTCACGAGTTATGGCACAGCTTTCCTGCCGGCTTTCCAAGAAACTTTTTGCTTCTGCTATCTCATTTCCTTAGTGAACATGTTGGCAATGCATTCCTGAAGTAATCTGTTGTACCTTAAAATGAAAGGTAAAAAGAGGGGAAAAAGTTAGAACAGGAAAATAAAATAAAAACAAGACGTGTTGGGAATATTGTTCTGAGCTTCTTAGCACCATAGCAGAGAAAGAAATAAGATCAGTTTTATAATGCCTACTGGCTATGAGAAAGGGAACTTATTCAGTGAAAGCATATCTATTTCCAGCTCTTAATTCTGAGACTCCTTCTGCAAAGGGTTCTCAGTTGTGAATAAAATGCTCAGAAAGCTTTCCACCTCAAATTCTTAACAAGGTTCACATGCCAATTTCTTTTATTTCTTCATTAAAAAAAAAACAATTTCTCATTTGTTGTTAATACAGGGCAAAAGCAGTGTAGGTCTCTATAAATGGCACTAATGAAGAGCTAGACAAGAAATTAGATAGGAAAGGGTCCCTGGTCACTTTATCAAACCCACATTCTCCTTCAGGTCTGACCTAAAGGGTCAGTCATGCTGCCTCCTTGAATCAGCTTGTGTAAGCCGCTTAATAAATGTGACCCTTTGTGGTGTCGTCTGATGGTATTATAATAGCTACCCCAATGGTTGGTAAACAATTTTGAATCACACAGTCCCTTCCATGTATGTTAATCTATGCTTTTTGTTATTTTGAAGATAATAGCACCCAACAAAACAAAACTGAATAAAATCAATCAAAACAAAGCAGTGAAATTGTTACAGAACTTTGAAACAGGATAATATGAAAACAACAATAATCACCATAGTATGTCTTGTTATATTTACAATTGTGGTCCATTCCATCAGATATAGCAAAATTAAAACAAACCAAAGAGAATAAAATCAATCAAAACAACACTGAATAAAGCAAAACAATTAATTGGAACAAAAAAAATGGTGAGAACAATATTGGAACTCAGAAACAAGACAGAAGGAAACCCCTCCTATTTGGTAAACTGCACACTGTCACCCTCCCTACAGGGGCTTAGACCACTGGCTCCAGGCCTGCAGAGTCAACCGAACAATACAAGCATTTGGTTACTTTTCCTACCTCAGTTGCCATTAACTCAGTCTGTCCTCTGAATCAGCCAGTTGCTTACAGGGAGGGCCACGGGGCGCAAGTCTTGATTTTCAGCCCATGGAAGGTGCCATCTGATTCTCTCTTCCTGGTCCCAGCATGATTTGCACGGCTTACCAGGAGGACTGGCTGTGTGGCTTCCAGTTAATGTATACTTATGAAGAGGAGGTGGAGAAAGTCTTAATGATGATAACAATGGAAATTTTAACTCTGGTGAGTTCTCTGACACACAATGGACAACAGATAGTCTAAGCCACATAGAAAGCAAAGAAGCCCAGGCAGGGAAGATGCCCATCGACCATGGTGGGCAGACAGAGCCCTGGCTATGCTTCCAGAACTCAGGAAACTGATGGAGACCACCATGACGTGGCTCTGAGAAAGATCTAAAATTAAGCAATTGGCTTTCTATATTTACCTGTGAGTCTGTCCCAGGTCTCAGCACCTTGTCTAGAGATGAACAGTCAGTGAACCTCTGGGAAAAACTGGTCCCAGCTGATGCCCATTGTGAACCTCAAAGAACAGGATAAGGTCACAGCTGAGGACGCCTGGTTCACATTGCAGTTAACTAGTTAGATACAGCAGCTGTAGGCATTTCCCTTCTGCTATAACTGCCAACCTGGAGATAAGACAGTTCTCCAAAATGGCAAAATTTACTACTTGTGAAAGTCTTTCTACTGACTCTCAAGGTCCAGCTTAGTTTCCCCCATTTTCCTCAGTATTTACTTCCTTTGTTTGAAAACCAAATATATACAGGCTGCCCAGAGAAAATCTTTGTCTTACTTCCAGAGAATTTTGAATTCTGCTGAAGGGTTTTGATCCTCCTGGAGCCCTAAAATCATACAACTTGTCTCTTTTATTTAAACCTTTGTCATCTACTTGTTCAGGAGATTGCAGGCCTGATCAGCTCACCATGAGAAACTATTATCTTATTGATGATCAATAACGATCAATAGCTGGTGACTTAGGCATGTGCTCCTAGCCACAAGGTGCTGTTAAAATTCAGATTTGGTTAAAGGCTCTCAAAGAAGTTAGCCATTGTAATAGTTAGTTTTGTGTAAGTTAGGCCTATGGAGTTTTTCAAAGAGCTAGAAGACAAAGCATTTGCAAGTTTTTACTACAAAGAAAATGACAAATTTTTAAAGAGGGGAATATGTTTAACATATATTAAACATTGCATAATGTACATAAGAATCAAACTCTTATAGGTAACCCGATTATTACCTAAACTTTTAATAATGTTATATGCTGGTTAAAATACAGCTAATCAAAAAGAAACAATCTAAAAATACCATGCTTTCCAAGGGCCCTGGGTCTGCCAGTCACCAATGCCAAGTCCAGCTGATAGGCTGAGCTCAAATGGATCGTGAATTCCAGACTTCTAAAACATTCTGATTTCTTCTCATGTCTTCATTCTGGGTCACAAGCTGAATGGGGCAGGGACACCTGAATGATTAATGAGAGAGCAAGGAATAGGAATTGTCCTCCAGTCTCTAAACACCGCCATGCGACTGTTAGAGTGGATCCTCCACGCTTATTCTGATCAAATTTTGTAAATAAGTATTTGGGCTTCTTTGATTATAAGCATCACATTTATCTCAAGAAAATCACCCATTTCCAGGATAATTTTTTTAACAGCTTGAGAGAAGTCTTCTAAAATATGTGTCATGTTCCAGTTTATTTTAGACACCAAAACGTACTCAAAAACATTCAACTTTTCAGTGTTTGGAGACTCATGTCTTCAATTTAACTTCCCGAGGTTTCTTTCTGCTCTTTTGTGCATGTCTGTGTGTGCACACACACGTGCTTTAGTGTAGACTGACATGGTACTGGGTGAACACCTCGCTCCGTCAAGGTCAGCACTAACAATGTGGCTCTCATAATCTGGGAATCTGTTTAATTTATTGTTGAAAGAAAGTGAACATCACTAGTGAAGTTTGAAAGAGCATCAAGACATGAAGCTCGTATTACATACACCTCCATCTTACAACCTTGAAGAAAGACAGAACCTGGAATTCTATGTTTGGGAAGTCAAAGGAAAATGGCTACTCCAGGACCTAGTTCCTAATGCGTAGTTGTTAGTACATGTGGGGCGACTTTCTATAAAGTGATCCGTGACGTTCACCATGTGAAAAGGACGTACCGCTGCTCTGTATCCAGCACCCAGGGTTACATTCTGCAGAATAAATTCACTCCATCAGGGCCTTCCGCTCATAACACGTTTCCTCGCATCACTTCTACACAGAGCCTCTTTCTCCCAGCACTGTAATTATTATGTGCACCTCCCAGGGGCTGAACTCACTTGGGAGATTATTTGAACAAGTTATTTATTGTGAGTTCCATCACAGCCTAGAGCTAACTGAGAGCCTGTAAGCTAACAGGCTCTCAGTGTTCTAGACACAGCCTGGCTGTTGATGATTTTGCGTATTCCTTGGATCCCACTTCTTTGTGAAGCATGTTGGGTGATAGTTTCCTGTGGAGCAAAGTAAGAGAAAAATACAAGTGTCACTAGGGCCTAGCATCTGGGAGCTTTCCTGGGGCAAGGTCAGTGGTCTCACCTCAGCTTCCTGCTGGTAATGCTGAGGCTCATCCTACTGAGACAGTAGGGGGTCATTCTGAGAGAAAGTGAAGGGGCACCAGACTAGCACCACACATGCAGGCTGCAGCCTGTCAGCCTCAGGTGGGCACACTGCCCGTCCTCAAACCATTCGGCCATCACTGGGCTGCATCTGCTTCTGCTTTCAGTGTAAGGAGGTCAAGCTTCTTCCTTCTGCTAAGCGAGCCATGCCCCATCACAAACCAAGCGACTTCGCTAACAGAGGAGAAGCCAGCACGTCTCCCCTAAATTCAGTGGAAGATCTATCCAGCAGTACTGGGGGAAAGGCAGGTGTGACAGGTGAGAAGTTCACCTTAATTTCGTTACACACGTCATTACCATAGAAGTAACCAACAAGAAAATTTAAAGAAAGGGCAGGAATATTAAAATAGGTAAATTTGGTGAAATATTCCTGGTGGAGAACAGGAGCTGCTTAGGAAGCAAAAGGACAAAGGAAAGAGCAGATTATTGCAAGAGCAGAGAGGCAGGAAGGCGGCGGCTGGCCAGGCTTGCGCACGGCTTGCCCTGTGCGGTGCGGTCTCTATACTCTGGGAATAAGTGACGAGGACCAAGAATTGTGCATTTGGCCAGCGTTAGGCCTTGCATTCACTGAATTTCATGTTAGATCAAAGAACTCTGTTTTTAAATAAAATCTATTGAATAAGCATTAGGTGACTTGTGGAAAAATATACTTTATTTTTGATCAACAGTAGTTTCATTAAATAAAAGCAAAAAAAAAAAAAAAAAAAGATACTGCTGTCATGATCCTTCCCTAAGTGATCAATGTATGGGGAGAGGCAGGTTGTTGAGCTGAGAAATCACAAAGCTTGCATAGTAATGTAAAGACCTAGGCAAACCTCGTCTGACTTCACTTATAGTTTCCTAGACAATTAAAATAAAAAAGAAAATTTTATTCAATTAGAACTGACTTTTCCATGGCTTAGGGGCATTTTAAAGTGACAAAACATGCAAAAATACACCAGTGAGAAACTGTACCCTCAGAAAAAAACAGTCTACCTTTACGAAACGTGTTTAATCAGGTAAAAATCAAACCACATATCGGCACTTAAAATGAAAATATTTTTCCACCTGGATTCTCCCACCTCGATGGCTGTGTTACGTGACTGCCTACAGGTGACCACTTTGGAAAGTGGTTCTGCTTTCCAATGTCTTTGCACAGCTTCACTATAACTTTAAACATCATAAACGCAAATGCAGACTTTCTGCTGACATATTTACATGCTCGTATCTGGTTATATAGGTGATTATCTCCTTATAGCATAAACCATTTCTTACATCAGATGAGAAAGGCGGGGATGGAATCCATGTGTGGAATTTACAGCATTACAAACATTCCCCAGCATGCTTGAATACACATGCCTCTAAATTATAAAGTACAGATAAGAGTAACTCTAGTCTTCCTCAAATTTGGAATTTAATGCAGAGATGAACAAATACTCTTCACAGAAAGTGTGGTCTAGATGATACAACATCTTCATCTCTTCTACTTGATGCAAATAAACATATTACAAATCAAGGTCTGGGAGGTTTAACCTTTAAAATTCATACATGTAGATACAGGACCTCCTCAGGACTTCTTGTTCTTTTCTCTTCTTTAGCTGCAATGATACAGTCTACAGAAATTTAGGATTGACCTTACCTTGCAAACGTGGCTGCGGAGAATGACTCTCCTGCTTGCCAGCACCCACCGTGGGGGAAGGAAATGTGAAGCCTGTAATGACCTCCAAACGCAACCACATGGAAGCCATTTCCTGCTCTACCCCAGCCGTGCTTCAGCCGTGGTGGTGACTGATGGGGCTCATGCCTCTGCTTTTAAGCAATGTCATGCTCGGAGTCCGGCTGGCACTGTGCCCAGCACCTACCCCTGTGGGTGCATCAGGTCTCCTGAAAAGCTCACGTTGTCTTCTTAGTCTCCCTGTTTCTTGATGTCCTGAATCTCTCACCATTTCAGCCCCATAATTTACTGAGGAAAAAAAAAGCCATTGCATGGATTATTAGCAACAGTTAAGGTGAAAACCAGTACTTTAAAAATAAATTTTAGGATAATTGGGCATTTTCCATCTCTCTGCGATCTCAGTTTTGCAGGAAAGGAACCAGACCCCTGCTTGAAGATTATCAGGAAGGCGGGGTGGGGAGGTGAGGAAAGAAGGGCCTAAGAAGAATGAGGACAAGATACACGCTCTAATCTTTTTCTAAGTCATAGGTCTGGCCATTTCTAAAATTTCATGCAGAATGAAATATGAAATCTATTCATAAATCAGACCAAAAGTCAGTCTTCTCATCAGCTTCACAAAGGGGTCTAATCCGTTTGGTGCACCACTCTTTGCAGAGAACAGCTGTCTTTTTGGCCCACAAAGCTCACTTTGCAGGTGGTTCAAATGATATAAAGTTATCAGCCCTCACATGCTCTTGATGAGGCTCAGGCAGGCTTGAGTGCTCAGGCGGGGTGGTCTCAGAAACCTGTGCTGTGGAGCTTAGGTACTGAAGCTTCTTTTATTCATCTGGAATTAGAAGTGATGCTGAATGTTTTCTGTTTTAATTAAACACCATCCAATGCTGCTGAAGCCAGTACTTGAAAACATTCTTCATAAGCAAATTTGATACAGCAATTGTTAATGACTTTGTCAGAAGTCACATTAAAATGAATTAAGATGGAAAGAACAGAACATCAATGGTAATTATAGTCAGTGTTAAATGCCACTAATCCAAAAAGAAAACAATGGATTTAGTTAGAGATTATAGGTGCAAAGAACAGGCCCCAGATGCAGAATACTTCTTTAAAGGCAATTTATACTCCCTCGAGATTTCCAAGTCAGATTTGTCCTTTAGCCTGTGACTCATGATTTTTCTATTTAGAGATTTTATGAAACTGTATTTTATCTTCTTAACATTCCCTGATGATTTCATAGCTGTTCAAGCTTTCCGGATACTTTCATGTGAAACAAACATTTGTTCTGTTGTTCTAGGATTTAATTTAGAGTGGGTGGTTTTTTAAATCCATCAAGCATCTTAGGGCAAGGAATAAGTTTAGTTATTTTCTCCTCTGGGAGGATAGAGCGTGCTGTGGTGATTATTGGATGGCCTGAGTCTTGAATGGTCCTTACTCTTTATGCTAAAAGGGTATCATTTTTTTTTTGCTGTTTTTTTTTTTTTTTCTGCATTTCACATATGTATTAGTGTGCTTTGGTTGTATAGATTGATGGGTTTAATTTTGGCAGATTTGTGCTTGTTTACAACATCCTTCAATTGGTCTCCTTTATTTTTGTCAATTGACTTACATCACTCTAGAAAAGGCTTCCCTGGCATGAGGCCAGTGTGATAAAAAGGATGATGCCATGATGAATACCGAGAGGAGACTGGCAACCAGGTGGGAGAGAATTTTGCATCAAAAGCGCCATTGTGGAAGGTTTTCTTATTGCCATTATTTTATTTTTTTACTAGTTCTGAAGCTTCATTGCATGCCATGAAAATAAATGAGGTGAATTCTGTTTTCAACATCTGTGAATTTTACTCAGAGAATTTATACATCCCAGGAGAAAGAATTCTTGCAACGTTTTAGTGTTGAGAAGTTTTTCCTGCCAATCAATAAACAGATGAACTTTACGATCCCAGAATCCACTGAATACTCTCAGAGGGTACAAGTCCCTTGTTGGTGGAACACTTCGCTGAGTTTATCAGTTCTCAGAACATTTTCCCGGGCTGAGCAGACTGCTTCAGAAGACTGCATGTGGGAATCCTAGACAGGAAGAAGAATGGGTGAGGAGTTGGCCTGGGACACCGACCTTGGGACATCCTGAAATTGTGGAAAGCAGGATCCCAGACAGGGAAGATTGGTGATCACAGTGAGTTACAAGAACCACACTCTTGGTTGGAGAATGATTCTTGCAGGGGGAAAAAGGAAATCTTGTGATGTGCATTAAAATGGATAGAACTACTAGGTGAAACAGACAGGCAGACAAGGAAAAACAGGAGGAACGGTGGAGGTGGGTTGAGGGAGGAAAAGAAGGAGAAGGAGGTAAGGCTTTCTTTCACATTTGAGAGCTTAAACAAGGAGGAGCTAAAAAAGCCAACCTCCACATTGAGTAGCAAGTAACAGAATGTGAGACTACTGTAGAGGGTAGGTGGATAAACAGAAGTTGGATTTAGTAAGTGCACCATCTATGCATATGTAGAAGGATCGTATTGATCCTCTTAACACATGCCTATCAAAAATTTTAATAAACCCTTTAAATCCTTACAAATATACTGATGCACATCCAGGGCTAACCCCTTACCTGGCAGAGAAGAGCTAAGCACTGATCTCATAAGAACCTGGGTGAAGACAACATTCAGGTGTTTATTCCAAAACTGATTTACTTGATATTTCATTTGTATTTATATTTCTTTATAAATATTTTATCAAAACTTGTAA